GTAAACAGCAACAATATGGACAACTTCATGATCACGGAATTCCTCTACTAGAAACAACAAAAAAAACGAATCATGGTTAATCAACATCAACGAGGCAACAAGGCATAACTGCAAAGACGCGTAGCTGAAGTCATCTTGAGACAATGGTATCCGCTTAACAATGCAAAACCAGTTTTATTTTCTGGGGACTGAACATGGTCGTGCTAATGAACGAAAGAGCTAAAGAGTCAGCTTTTTGCAAGGTATCCTAGCTGAACACACGCTTGCGTTTAGCTTCGGTTTCATCGGCCAACGCTTCCTTGGGCGTCTACTCGGTTCGATGATTTGCGCAAAGATATGATCGAAATAGAAGAAATTTGATAGCAAATGTTAGGCATTCATAAACGAATCATTTGGACAGCTGAACGACGACGGCTAAAATGATTGATAAATTGAATTGGATACGATAAACGATGAAATTCGCATGCAGTAGTGACGATCGGTGTTTATTGCTAGCGTCGAACGATACCAAAAAATATTTTACGATTCATTATCATTTCGCTGCTATCAATCAGCAAACAAACAGTCGTAGTATGGTTGTTAAGAAATTTTATAATGATATTATGTCCGGATCTGTTGTGTAGGGCGAATCATTCGACAAATTTTGTGTTGTTTATCTCCTGACTGCTGGATTGCATTTGATCTCCGACATACTCACCAATCATTTTGCATTCGATTTTTCACGAACATTTGTTCAGCTATCATCCTGGATGTAACAAAATCTTGAAAGGGTGATCAAAATCGCGTCCAAAATGCTGCTCTCACGCTATTCTAGTCAATTTTAACGTCTTTTGCGATTGCGATTTTCCGAATCCCTTTCATCTTATTCAGCATTGAAGTACACAAACTAATATGTTGTGTTACCACCTTATAGTTTCGATCAGCTGTTATCATTTAATTAAACATCGTGAATTTCATATTCAGAGTACCACCTACAAGTCAGTCATACTTTCGTCCTTATCAAAGCAGAATGACGATTCTGATTCGTGCACTGTTTGTCGTTGCAATCGCTGTTGGATGCGCAACAGCGTTTCGACTTCAAGGAGTTGGTGTTCAAGGGAAACTGATGTGCGGTGATCAGCCGTTGCGTAATACCAAAGTGAAGATTTACGACGTGGACAGAAGTGAGTTCATCAATTTTCACTGCTAAATGATTGCAAATTACTCATTCACAAGGTATAAGTTGATCAAGTTCGAATTGATCACTTTGACGGTTTGATCAGGAACGATCAGGTGCTCAGGCAATGCAAAGCAGCTTCCGAGATAAACACGAAGTGCATTGCAGATATTGGTGATTCGGACGATTTGTTGGACGAAGCGTTCACGGACCAAAATGGAGAGTTTCGCGTTGATGGTACCACTCGTGAAATGACTACCATTGAGCCGATACTGAAGATTTTCCACGATTGCAATGACGGTATTAGGGTGAGTCGTACGGTTATTTGCATGGTTTCTTATTCTTTGACTTATACCCGATTGAGTTGGGATTAGGATTACCATCTGATCTGTATTGCTTGGATATCGAATGTGGAAAACATTTTTCATTCAGTCGTTGTATGAGATTTTAAAAACTTCCATCAGCGAATCGCGTCTAAATTACTGTAAGCTAATAGTGTTGACAAATAATCGCAAATATTTTCGTAGACGATAATATTTGGCAGTAATGTTTAATGCAATATTTACGACCCATCATAAAGTGGAATCGAATGAACAGTTCGCAAAATCACATTTCCGGTCCAAAACACGGTTGTAAACATACACAAACATGTTGTTTGTTTACTCGACCAAGTGACTGCTTATTATCGAAAGCAAAATAAAAACACTCTCATTTTGATGTTTACAAACACTCACAAAATTTCGATCACTTATAATTTGAGTAACATTAAGAATTCAAAAGATAAGACTTGACTTTGTGGAAAAACTTGCAGCTCTACAGTTCCCTTAACCAGATCACTAGTTCTTCAGCAACATAAACCAATGTTTCTCAGAATATTAACACACGGCCTTCCAGTTGTTTACGGTGAACAAATTCGATGTTTAGCGAATGCAAGTTTAGGGAATGCAACTTCGATCGTTACTGATCATTGATCAACCGAAATTTCCATTCGGGTGTGAATAACAACCCTCCGGATCACCCTAATCGCTGGTCACTTTTACTTCAATTTTAGCCATGCCAAAAACTTGTGCAATTCGATGTTCCCGAAAAATACATTCATCGTGGTAAGGTCAACGAATGGTTCGACATTGGTGAACTGAATATGGAAATGACGTTCAGAAACGAGGGACGTGAATGCAATGTTTAGTGCAAATGCAATATGCCACGATTAAATTCAATGATACAATATATGTTCACTTTATTTCTTGAATAAAAGTTTTGAATCTGACTTGAATGCTTTGCTTTCGATTCTGCGCTATGTTATATCATTTTGACTAATTGTGAATGAATTCAGTGTTCTTGCTTCATTAAACTGTCACTCGTAAACAGTAGAAACCAGGGTCACCTTCTCCCTGGAAGGCACACATTCGTCACCAAACAATGCATCTTCTCGGCTATTCACACAGTAATTGATGGCATGATAGAATGCTCATAGGATGGATCTGTACAAAACAGCAAAAGAATTATTCGCTAGTTGCAATCCCTCATAGCATAAAGTTCTCCTCATAACACTTTGCATAATTTCTTATCAAACAATATTCTGCCACCAAACGGTACCTCCAATGATCAATTATACACATGTTCAATAAACAAGTATGACAGCATGATCAACTACAAAGAAATATTTTCATGAGACCAATCTCGTAACCAAAAACACATCTCAGTCGATGTCGTGAAAAGGTTCTTCTCGTGCGAAATATTCCTTCCAAGTAGACATGCTGGTGAGGCCAAGCTCTTTGGCCTTCGTTTCGCATCGTGGTGGAACCATCATATCGTCTTTCATTTTGATCGCATTCAACGCGTCTCGCCGTAACATCACCTTTAAAAATTCCGATCGTAAGTGTTCAATCACATCAGCAATATGCAATTCATGCTCACGACTCTGATGTCGTTAAAGAGCAACAATTCAAACAAAATTTCAAAAACATCAAAAAAGGAATTTTTCTTTCAAAAAAAGTTCGAAATTTCTACGATTCTCATGAGTCTGGAGTGGTGAATTACACCATAAAACTTGTGAGGAACATAAATAAACCAGCGAAAATAAACTAACATATTCAAGAACCACTGAAAGAACGACGATTATGAAGCCGAAAGTAAACAGAATTGAGCCAATAGTTGCACATGATATCTGTAATCATGAAAAAACTTGAGGCTTCAAAAATATGCTTTCAGAAAGGTTTTGGTAAACATACATGAACGTGTTTGTGTTGACAATCACTGAGAGCATCTAAAATTTCCGAAATTTACCGAAAATGCGAAATTTCTCTGAAGGTGACAAAAAACTTTCAATACTTCCTAGTGTATTTAAAAAAAAAAGCACTGAACCATCAATGAGCCATCTACTATGATCATCAAAGATATTCTTCAAGAACGATATTGTTACAGCTGAACTGATATCATGAAACGGAAAATATCAGTTATGAGGAATTTTTTTGTAAGTATTTGATTGATTCAAGCGAGAGGATTGAGTAAAAGATGATCGTTCGGTCTTTGCGCCGCATGCGAGTTGGTATTTTTCACATCATCGATCTCGTAGGTTTTATTTTGAATTGTATGAATCTTACACACGAAATGCACTCATCAGGTATGTAATCACTTTACTGTAATGATGTTGCGTAGCATAGGGAAATGAAATTATCGGAGAAGGATTGCACTTATCGGAGTTGTTCATAATAATGATTTGGTGTTTACTTGAAGCTTGGAGAGTTGAAACGCTTCCGGAAAAAGAGCTGCCGAAGCAGCCGCTCGTTCGGTCATCCAATGAATTAAACGAACCAATTTGTCGTAAAATTTTACGAGCACCGCAACGAAATGCAAGAAAAGCACCGAAAGGAAGTAGTTCAACAACTTAATGTTAATTCGTTGACGTTTGTTTACATCAGCAAAATCAAATAAAATCATTTTGCGAAACTTTTTTTCAACGTTTCTTGCATACGATTCAATGTTGCAAATTCAGTTTGGAGATGTTCAGTTGATACTCTAAAATTGGTTCCCAATCCCATCCTTTTTGCTGCAATTCTCACGATTAC